GGATCTGGAGCAGGACTTCTGGAGCAGTTCAAGGGCAGAATCCCTCAGCAGATAGGAGGCTTCACAAGTCGCCATTTTTGGAGCTTAGAGGAGAGACTTAAAAGAGGGACAGGGTGTTCTACAGTAAAAAGACTAAAGGGAAAAGTCTCAAATTAGAAGGGGTGAAATTACCTCCAGACTTACTCTAGAGGTAAATGAACACCCATGTGACGATTGCTCCTGTTCTCCTTCATCCCAGCCTCTTTGCTGTTAAGAGCAATAGGGCTAGTTTGCAACCGCAAGAGAGGCTGGCCGGCATTCTGAAGAGCTGCTGGTACCAAAACCTCTCAGCAACATTCTACCTTCTATGCAACTGCATGTGAGTACAAACCAACTCTCAGTGCTCCACAGCAGATATTTATGGCCCTAACACTTATTTCCTGGCAGCAGTTTTAGCAAAGCTAGATGTTTGTGTAACACTATGATTCAAAGCGATCCATAAAGCAAGCAATGTTTTGAAACTGTTGTTGGCTAAAGCCATGTTTTGCAAACTTACAACTAGTACCAAGTGAAGCTTCCTTATTGCTTTTTTTTTGTTTTCCTCTTTCCCTCTTTTAACCCCAAACACCCTTGTAATCAGAGCCCTACAAAAAAAAAATAATCTCTTACCAAAAAAGAAAAAAAGAATGACGTTTTGAAAACCCCTCTGAAACGTACTAATATTGTTTTAAATACAGCCACTAATGCACAGTTAAAAGGAAGAGCAGCTGAGTGAAGGACAGAGCACACCCGCTGCTCGGAGGGCAGCACATGGAAACATTCCATAGAATCATAGCATTCGTTCAGAATCATAGACTTAACTCAGAACATCTTTCCTCTTAATCAAGATGGCACCAATAGAAAGTTCAGGCTGTGGAGATGTTCATCTTTACTAGAACAGATACATCCAGACTTCTAGTCTAAAGCATTCACCCTTATGCATGGCAGATCATGAATTATTCTAAATATGCCATATGGAATACCTTCTTTCTTTGAAAAGCAAACAGTAAGAAAATACATAAATACACTCCTTGCTAGCTAGGTGCAGCTATATTGTTATCTCTAAGGTATTCTTTATTCCTATTCTGTGTCAATATCCATGATTCGCACTACAGAAGCATGAAAAAAAAAAAAAAAAATCAAATGTGACCAAACCTATGATTGCATTGCATTGTTATATTTTATTGTACCTTAAAACAATACCATAACATTCCAGAAGTTGTGGTAAATGCCATTTATAAATGTGACCATAAATGTGTAGCAATAGGAAAAGGTGTAATGGGTTTAAACTGAAACAGGGGAAAACTCCCGGAAGTTTTCAAGTTGACAAGCAGGTATTCTTTATTGTGGCACGGGGGGACATCGGGATAGCTCCTCTGAACGTGCGTTCCCGTATGGCTACGCAAGCCATCCTTATATAGCCACTGGGCATACATGCATATTCGTGAGGCTACGTACAAATTGCATCATTTTCCAGAAAGTTACCCTCCTGCGTATAAAAATGTGGTGGTGGTCTCTGAGGGTCGTTTACTTCTTCCAACAATCTTCATCACTTCTGGCAGCCTTTGAAGCATGCGCAGTAGACACTTATACCAGCTTAATTGGTTTGTTAACAATCCTCCTGTCCTACTTACCAGTTAGCTTAGCTGCAGCCCATCCTGGACACCTGCCATTCCCAGATATTCCTTATCCTTGCGTCCTGTTCTTCTAGCCTGTTTTTCTTACACTCATTTTGTACTAAGGTCATAGGGCCTAAAACTACGTCAACTACAATGGTTTATCCTGTACAAGAATTCTCAATTCATTCTCTAGCTGTACTCTAGTTTTTTCTTTTTTTTTTCCTGTGCATCATGCACAGGAATTTTCCATTGCTACTGTTACAAAGCCATCAAATTTAAGATTACTTTAAATTGATTCTAAAGGTTTATATATTCCATTTTGTAATTTTGTCCGTTCCCCCCCCCTTGTCTTAAATCCCCCCTTTTTCTGTCCTTTTGCAAATTCTTTTGCAACATTTTATATATTACCATTACCATCTAAAGTCTTTCTGAAATAATTTCCCGTTTCTACTTGGTGCTTAATTCATTCCTCTTCCAGTCTTCATAATTTATCATACATCATTTACAATACCAGAAGGAACATTGTATCATACCACAAGTAATCAATATTAAAACAATTAACATCAATATTCCTGCAACCAGTTGCCTCAACCAGGAGAGATCAGGTAACCATGAAGCTAACTTTTCCGTATTTCTTCAAAACCCCAGGAGGTGTCATCCATCGCCGCTTCATGAAATACTTTAGTTTGTTTCCAAATTTCCTCCAGATCTCTTTCAATTCTGCCACTTTGATCTATACAGGAACAGCAACTTTCATTGATTATGGAACAAACACTTCCTTGTGAAGCATAATCTCCTACTCTGGTTCCTGGTGTAATACATCTTTGTGCGCAAGTATAGTATTTATTACCCAGATTAGGATTAACTATAACAAATTTTAACCTTTCCCTTGGACGTAGATTGCTGGTGTTCATCCGCAAATTTGTCCATGAGGTAGTGTTAGGAATTGGAACTCCAATTAGTGGAAGGTCCAGATTTCCTCCTGATTTAGGCAACTGTGCACACACCCAACAGTCACTATGATTAAAAACCTCAGTAACATTCTGCACTAATTTCAGGTATAAATTTTGGTCCCAAGCTTGTGTGCCAGTTATCATGTAAGTCCAAATTATGGGCGACGCAATTTCATATGTAAGGGTCTTGAAGGTTCGATCCACCATGTCTTCTCTGGCACTGGTGCCTTTTTTATTCTTGAATAATGTATCCGAGCAGGTTGTTCCTTTATCTCCACTGCTGTAAAGGTGATCAATAATATCTGCTACGGTCCGCTCCACTTCTCCTGTAGAGGATCTCCTGAAAAATTCTTAACATAAACCCAGTCTCCAGATCTGAAAGAGTGAATCAGATAATACAAACCTCTTGCTCTTGTCCCTAATATTCCCTTATTTATCTCTGCTAATTGTTTTCCCAGATTGATCAGAAACTGTCAGAGATAGCCTTCTCCCACTTCCTGAAGACGTTCTCCTTTAAACTGGGACTGATATGGTCTTCCGTATAAAATTTCAACTGGGTTAACCTCTTCTTTCAACCTAGGTTTAGTTCGAATTCTTAATAGAACCAGTGGTAAAGCTTGGTACGAATATAAATTTGTTTCCTGACATATTTTAGTAATCTGTTGTTTGATCAGATGGTTCATCTTTTCTACTTGCCCACTGGCCTGAGAACTATATGGAACATGTAGTTGCCAATCCATTTCTAATTTTTTGCTAATTTCTTGTAAAAATTTTGCACTAAAGTGCGAGCCTCAGTCAGAAGAAATTGCTGCTGGTACCCCAAGATGAGGTATTATGTCAGTAAATAATGTTTTAATCACTTGTTTTGCATTATTTATCCTAAAAGGGAATGCTTCTGGACAGCCTGAAAAAGTATCTGTTAACACCAACAAATATTGGTCTCAATAATTCAGAAAAAAATATTTGTCAGTGCTGTCCCAGATAACTTCCTCCCCAGTTGTACCAATTTGATTTCTACTTTCAATTTTAGGGTTATTCATGAGGCAGAGCTGACAGCCCTGGTCCTGTGAAGACATGGACCTCATGAGGCGTGTGGGTGCGAGGAGCACATTCACACTCGCCGGCTGCGCTCTGTGACACTGGAAAGGGGAGGAACGCCGCCGGCTCGATGTCTCCAGGGCCCGCCGTGCCACTCGCAGCATCCAGTCCACCGGCTCGGTGCCCAAAGCCGCCGCCTTAGGGCCGGAACCCTCCCCGTCCTCAGGCCGCGGGCTCGGGCCTTGACTCGCGGCCGCAGCTCCCCGCTGAAAAGGGGAACCCGGAAGCGCAGATCGTTGCCAGGGAACGCCCTCCAAGAGGCCTGTCACTGGGCCCAGGACAGACAATCACCTTTGAGGAGGTGGGGCAAGGGGGCTTTTGGCTCTCGACCATTCATGTGGGGGGTGCGTCTGCCTCTGCTTCTCATTTGCTTTTCCAGAAAGGCTAACAACAGCAAGAATCTAAGTCTTAGGGGATGGGATAACCATTTTAGCTGGCATTCCCTAAAGCAGAGCGAGTGCAGCGCAGCCACTGCACATCACTGAAACAGCTGCCACCACATCACCCTCAGCAGAGGATAACACTCAGCAGCCATCACAGCAGAGGAAGTAATTCATACTGTATTCTGTGTCTCTGTCTCCAACTCCCCAGGGGCTCGCTCACCACTGTGGTGGCCCCAGCGCTGCCCTGAGCTGCTGAGCTTAAACTTCCCCTCTTTCAGTTTAAACCCATTACACCTTGTGCTGTTGCTACAGTCCCTGATGCAGAGTCACATCTGGGCGGGTAGGACAGGGGGGTGCAGGCTTTCTGCCCTTGCTTTGCGTGAAGACGTGATATGCAGGAGGTTTCAGCAGCTCTGTTTTAAACGTCGTGTCGGCTGCATCCCTGTGAGCCAGCTCCAGTCAAGTGCAAACGTGCAGTCCATGCATCTGGGCTCTGCTCCCCTTGCCTCTCCTTTTGCAGCATGGGGGAAGTTTACTTGAATAAAGAACTGCAGGAATGCATTTCTTTTGATCAATCAAAGGAGAATTCTCTCATGACAGGATGTGGGAACATCTCAGATCCTCAAGAGAAAAATGTCGATGACCACTGTAGAGGATTGTGGCCTCCGTTCGGTGGATCGTGCAACCTTAAAATAGCTCTTTTGTATTTCATTTTTCCAAGTTACTTCCAGGTCTCCTGTGAGACATGCGATGCAATCCTGCTGCAGGTGGTGGGTGCTGTGTGTGTGCTCTGTGTGCTGTTGGGCTGCAGGTCCCTCGCTGGGGATCCTGCGCTATCTCCCTGTTGTGGGATGCTGCATCCAATGCAGGTCTGTGGCTACTAGACTTGCCCTCCACTGCAGCCCTGGTCCTGTGAAGACCTGGACCTTATGAGCAGTGGGGATGGCCATCATGTGCATGTCTGGGCTGCAGCGTGCCCTTCTGTCTCTGCTCTCCTCGTGGCCATTTATCAGGAAGCCTTTCCTGAGCATGAATCAAAACCTGGAGGCGCCACAAAATTCTTTGGATTTGACCAGGATTTGGAGGTTTCCGGCTTTTCTTCAGTGCCTGGGTACAAACCTAAGCGAGGAGAAGGAGGAACAGCAGCCTCTGAGGGAGAAGGGTGCGCTGATCATGAGGGAGGTAGTGTCCTGTGCTCCAGCACAAAAGCACCAGCCTGGTTTCTAAGCAAACAAACAAACAAAAAGGTTTTGAGTTAAAACATCCCCTAAAATGGAGTCCCAACCGAGTAAGCTGAAGACAACATGCATACATAAACAGTGACTGTTAAATCTTTCCGGCAGTAATGTAGGACATCACAATTGTGAGGTGAAACTGATGTGGCCTATTGTGTACAAGGGGGTTAGACAAAATGTACAGGGGGGGTTGTCAAAATGTACAGGGGGGTTGTCAAAATGTACAGGGGGGTACTGCTTAAGTCATAGCTGGTTTAACGAGCTCAGCAGATGTCTTATCAGACAAATACCAGAACAAAACCTCCTAGTGAGGAGAATGGGGGGATTGTACAAGGAGTACTGCTTAAATCATGGCTGGCTTGACAAGCCCAGCAGTTACCTTATCAGACAGTACTAAGATAAGGCTTCCTAGCGAAGGGAATAGCCCATTAAACCAGCTAGACATGGACCAGACCCATCCAGCTCCTAAAGAGCATGCGTGAGGACCAGAGGTAAAAAGTTCAAGCCTGAGGAAGACTCATTTACTTCATCTTGAAGACCCCTACCCACAAGAGGAAGACTACTTACTTCATCTGAAGACCCCTGCCCAAGACCACCAGGAGGCACTGCGCATGCGTGGAGCGCCTTTTAGCTCATTATAATACGAAGCGGGGATAGAATATGAATATGTATAGGCATATTGTGCGACCTAATACCTATGTATGACTTTACAGGATAAATGTAAAAGGAAAACGGCACTGAGGTACGCATGCCTTTTGGAGGACCAATCCCCCGTGCGTCTTCAGCTGAATAAAGCATACCTACTTTACAACTTTAACCAAGTTGTGGAGTCTATTCCGCTATCATGAGGTATATAGGAATGATTTGTGTCAGAAACTTAGGAGTCCTTGTCATCATTGCACTTTGGGAGGAATCGAAAATCATGTGTAGAATGTATAGGAATGATCAGATTAAGATGGGAGTTCCTGTAAATACAATGATGAAAAGAAAAGAAGGAACAAAGGAATAATCCTTCCTAATCAAAGTCTTTGTTACTTTAAGGGGTACTTTGTTTAAATACTTGAATGTCTCAAATGTTTTGCTAACTACAGAGGGTGTTTTGTTTAACTGCTTGAATACCTTAAGGGGGTTAGGTAATCAAGGGATACATTCTGTTATGGGATGAGGTGAACCTTGTGTATTCAATATGTAACTATATAAGAAATGGAATTGAGGGGGCTAAGATGGTGCTTAAGCTTGTGACAGACATTCCCTGTTAATGTATTGCCAAGGAATTCAATGACTTTTTAAGAAGTTTCATCACCCAAAGATAAGATCCCAGCAACAGGAGGAGAAAATGAAAAAGAACCACATCGATATTTGGGTGAAGGAGACGACAGGATTGGCTGAAACCCAAGATCGAGGAGTATAAGAGACTGTACCCCAGAACTCTCGGTGTGCGTTGCTGGTGGAGTGAAGGCTCCCCTGCGCACCCAGCGCTGCTTGCTTATTGCCTCTCAATAAATTGTAAATAAATTAAATTTGGGCCAAAACCCTGTCTATGCAAAATTTTTATAACACCTTCATTACTTTGGTTGCTTTTGAAGCCTTGCAGGAAGCTTTCAGTGTGTGGTTGATGATGCGATAATTAATATCAATATTAGACTGTAATGAAGGTTCATCTGTGGTTTTTTTCATCACTTGGCCGACTTTCAAATCACAGGTTTTAACATGGGATGAAGCCACCTGATGTCTGTATGCAAATATCTCATGCCATAAAGCAGGATTAAGCCATGGCTGCTTTGATAGCCTTTCAATACATTGGCCGGAGATAATTGCTTGGAGTGGGAAGATACTTTCTCTCTAATAAATACTGTGATTTTTTTGGTGACACATTATTATCTGTTATATGCAAGCAGATTTTCTTAGGCAGATGGATAGGGCATGAGTAAAGTTTTCTTCCTGAAACATGGAATGCTAAGAGGCTTTGAATAAAAGTAAGGACTAAAACTGAAACTTGCCTTTGGTTAATTTTTCTTTACACCTTGTCTACGGCCAGCAGCTAGGCTGAAGTACAGTAAATGTAAGAACATGGAGCAGAACTGGGGACCCAAACCCGACTCTGCTTAACTTTTGAGATCAGACAAAATGGTGGTGGGTAAAACACAGTCGGTATGTGTGTCAACATGGTGAACACCGTCACAGTCAGCAGGCAGGTCCCAAGGGTACCCAAAGGCCATTTAAAACCTTCAGAACTCTCAAATGATGCTGCTGTACTTGTCACTGGGGCTGGTGTAGCTGCTGTGCTTGCCGGCTCTCCCACCACCAGCTTCTCTTTTCCTGAGTCCAGCTCTTCCTCCTCTGCCTTTCTGGGAAATGCTGAGGGGTCTCCTGCATCCTCCTGGGGCTCGGCGGGCGGCTTCCGGGGAATGCTCTCGGCCGTCGCGGGGCTGAGCTCCGCTCCTCTGCGGGGCTCGGCTCCTCCTCCGCCTTCTCCCGCTGCTCGGCAGCCGCCTCCTCCCGCTCCTCGACCGCCCAGACCTCCTCCACCGGCAGCCGCTCCCTTGCGGCCTCCGGTCCCGCTCCCGCTTGGTCCCCGGGGCCGCTCTCCCGGGCCGCTTCAGCCGCCGGCTCCCGGGGCCGTCCCCCCTCGGCTCCCCGCGGCCTCACGCAGACGGAGGCGAGGGCGAGGGTCAGGACGGTGAGGAGCAGCCGGACGGCCAGGGACCAGTCCACGGCCACGTCCATCCCACCCTGCTGCTGGAGCCCGCCCATATTACAAGTCATTGCCATAAAGTACAGTGAGACAGGAACCTTAGCCCAACCCCCACACTTGATAAGCACTAACTCAGCAAATACCGGCTCTAAGTAAGTCACAACACTCTGAAGCTGTGAGATCAAGAGGAACAACTCTGAGAGCCAATAAATCAGCATTGTGACGAGTGACTATTAATCCGGTCAGATCTGTCGTTATTTCAACCCCTTTGAGCCCCACGTTGGGCGCCAAAAAGAACTGTTGTGGTTTAACCCCACCCAGACAGCTTTCACTCACTCCCCCTCCCATTCTTGCCCTCCCCCTACTCCTGGAGGGACTGAGAGGAGAATCAGAAAGAATGCAACTCCCACGGGTTGAGATAAGAACAGTTTAGTAACTAAGGTGTAACACAAATCGCTACTGCTACCACCAATAATAGTAATGATAAAGGAAATAACAAGGGAAGAGAATACAACACCCCTTCACCAGGCGACCAATAACTTGCCCCCCCGCCTGATTAAGCACCGACCGATACCTCCTCCAACCCTGCAGTCCACCTGCCCTTCCGGCTCACTCCCTGCTCCCTCCTGGGCATGACGTGCTGTGGTATGGAATACCTCCTTGGTCAGTTTGGATCAGGTGTCCTATCTCTGCTTCCTCCCAGCTTCCCTCCTCCCTGGCAGAGCATGAGGCCCACAAAGTCCTTGGCCAAACCAAAACATCATTGTTTTTCAGCTCTGTTCCCAGCTGAAAGTCAAAACACAGCACTGCACCAGCTACCAAGAAAGAGAAAAATGACTGCCACTGCTAAACCCAGGACACTCACTGAGACTTCACCTAGCACAGCTGCCTGACCTTCTCCCATTGCCCTCCCTTTCTTCCTGTCTGTCAAACGGTCACTTCTAGCTCCCCACATCCACTAGGGGACTGGGGCCACCCATCCGTAACCCTTCTGCTTGGCATGGGCTGTTTACAGCAAAGCAGGGGACAAAGATGTTGTGCAGGGGAACCATCTGGCAGCAGCTGCCAACCTCCCTTGCCTTCTGTGTGTCTTGCAGCTTTCCTTGTTTCTGTCTGAGCTGTTCTAGTTAGTATTTTCTATAGGGAATACCACCTGCTCCCCTTCAGATCTGCTCTTGCCTGGCTTTGATAAGACATTGGCACATGTAATAGGGAACGTGGCGGCTTTGGGCACACTGGAGGTGTTCCTCAGTTTCCCCAAATGTTCCCGGGCAGCCAGGAAGCTGCTTCTCAGCCTGAAACTCTAAGCACTTTGGAACTACCTCTCCCACCTGCTTAAGACATGCCTCCCCTGCCAGTTATTCAGAGCCAGGCTTCTTAACCTCGCTCATACCCCTATGGTGTTTGAGAGGCCAGCCACAACAGTTACAGTCTCTCTTTCTTGTTTTTCTAGGCCAGCAGAGAACGACATGGGAGAAGCACTGAGTAGAGCCCAGACCCTCAAAGAACAGCTCCAGAAGCTCCAGGAAGTTTTATCACCTACATTGGAGCGTAAAGGATGTCACCGAGCGTGCTCTCCATGAAGCCTTGAAGCGGTCTAAGCTCCCAGGCTTTTCTGGATTGGTAAGGGCATGCTGCAGAAGGCTGTCTACTCAGAGGTTTCTTTCCTCCCTCCAGACTTTATCCTTCTACAGTTCCCTGTCCTGGCTAGCCAAAAGGCTGGTGTGGCTGGAACAAGTGCTGTGCATGGCCACACTTCCTTTCCTCTTGCTCCACACTTCTGTATGGGGGCAGAGAGAGCGCCGTGATGGGAGTTACAGTTGCTTTACTTATAGCTTCCTCAGAGTAGAGCAAGCCTGGGAGGTTTCCAGGCAATCTGGGCGTTCCTCACAGCTGAGTTGAACCTCGTCCCCCTAACCCTTGGCTGGCCATGCAGGGCAGATGATTGTCCCATTCCTTTTCCTGCTAACAGGCGCTTGCCTTTGTTCTCTTCCCCAGGCTGTTCAAGAGATCATCAACCAAGTCTTGGAGAAGCTGGAAGAAAGCCAAGTCCCAGTGACTGATTATGCCCTCAAATCATCAGGTGCTGTGCCATTGTACACAGACTGGTTCCAAAGTGCTTCCTGTGCACACTGACAAGATGGGCCTTGGAACAGGCTCAGTGGTAGGAGAGAAAGGGCAAGAAGTCAAGGGCCACATCGTGCCCTGAAAGTGTACCCACTGACAGACTCTGGAAGCGGCTGGACTCCGTCTGAAGAGCAGAAAGCCTAGCTGACATTCCAGCTGACATTACCACAGACTGATGAGGCCCTGCTCTGTGTTCCAGAGGGATCACGCCAGGAAGAAAAAGGGGAATCCCACTGCAGGAGTTGGAGGACTGCTTAAAAGCATTTCTCAAGTGAAGAGTGCAGTATTCCTCCTGACTGCTCAATGATCGTGCTCATGTCTTAATTTCCAGGGGCTGCTGTCATTCCCGAATACACAAGTCCATCCTTCTGGAATATGGCAGATAAAGTCATCTTGTATTCCCTGCCAGCGGTGGATTATGTGAGATCTCCTGAGCTTATTCTTGAGGTAGGAGCACCAAGAAACAGGAAAACAAAAGGGTGGGTGGGGGGTGGGGGTTGCACACATGCTGCTGAGAGTTGCGTTTACCCTTATCTTTGCTCCTCAAAGCTTGCTTTTCCTGTCACATTCTTGTATGGACCCACTCACTGTCTCCCTGCTGAGCATTTCCTCTGCCAGACTGCCTCAGGTCCTCCGTTTGAGCCTGCACTGCTGGAGGGCCCCACTCTGTGTTGGCAAGCCCTCCTGGCACTGATCTTGGGAACACACCCAGCTGCCTGCCTTCACAGTGCTTCTGCAGTGCTGAAGGGGTCTTGTGACATGTGGATTCTCAACAACTGCTGCTCTGTTTGGTACTGGCTTTCTGAGGATGCTGTTGTTTCTAGTATCGAGGCCAGCTAGACAGGGAGGACATTCTGTGCCATGGCTTTCTAGAGAAGGCAATGAGACATGATAGGGACACCACTGGGTCTTCTGACAGGGGAAGCATGTGCCTCAAAGTAGGCTAGAAGTAATTGCCAGTCGAGCCACTGCCATTTCAGGTAGATGCTTCTTCCTTTCCTGTTCTTTTGGCCAAATGAGGTAGAGTGGTGGAAGAATGTCTCGAGCACAACCCTCCCAGGGCAGTCAGGGGTTGAACAAGTCCATTGCTGCAGCACTATGTCAGTAGTTGAATGCCAGAGAGGAAAAGACAACTCATCTCTTCTCCTCCTTTCAGAACGAGCTCTCTGGGTTTGTGAATTACATCCTGCTGCAAGTGCTGAGCAACGGGGGCCACCCGGACTACACCTGCATATATCGGTTCAGGGTGCACGGTGATCCTGTGCAAGGTGGCACTTTGATCTGACAAGAAAGCCCCTTGATTGTCATTGAGTGTTTTGTCTCTGATAATAAAGCTCCTTGACTGTCATTGAGTGTTTTGCCTCTGATAATAAAGCTCCTTGATTGTCATTGAGTGTTTTGCCTCTGATAATAAAGCTCCTTGATTGTCACTGAGTGTTTTGCCGGAGATGCTGACAGGTAAGAAAACTCCTGTCCTTCTCTCCACCCACAAGCCTGTGGGAGACTTCCGTGGAGGGAGAGGTGATGGAAAAAAGGACTAAGAACTGTTTCCTATGGATACATTCGTTTGGGGGGTTAAACACACTGAATGTGTGTGCAGTTCAAGTGAAAAAAGGCTTCCAAAGACTCCAAAGCGGGCAATAGGGAACCCCAACGTTTACCCTTAAAGACTCCCCAGATCTTTTTGACCCCAATATAGTCCCTGGGTCCCCAAAATATTGTCCAGGGACCTCCAAATGCCAGCTCAAGTACTCCTAAAATGCCCTTTGGGGACCCGAAATGGGCAGGGACCCCAGTATTCCCCTCAGGGACACCTGATGGGCCTTAGGGTCCCAAAAATTTGCACCCAGGCATCCCCCAAATCCTTTTGATGCCAAAATAAGCCCTGGGGAATGCCCAAATACAGCCCATGGATCCCCAAATCCCCCCAAGGCCTCCAGAATGCCCTTTGGGGAGCAAAAGCAGCACCAGGGACCCTCAGGTTGCCCAGAGAAGTGGTAAATGCCCCATCCCTGGCAGTGTTCAAGACCAGGTTGGACAGAGCCTTGGGTGCCATGGTCTAGTGCGAGATGTCCCTGTTTTCAGGGGATTAGAACTGGATGATCTTAAGGTCCTTTCCAACCCTAACTATTCTATGGTTAACACCCCTTGCAGACCCCCCAGAACAGCTCAACACCCCCAAAGAGGCCCCCAGCAACCCTAAAACTCCACAGGAAACCCAAACTCCCCAGAGATCCCCAAACAGGGCAGTGGGACATTCCAAAACTCCCCCCCTAGAGATCCTTAAATGGCCTCCAGGACCCCAAAATGGCCCCAAAAGAAGTCAAAATGGCCTCCAAAGACTGAAAAATGGGCCTCAGGGATCCCAAAATCCTTCTGACATGAAAATAATCCCATGAGGTGCATCAAAATCCCCCCTGGGGCCTAAAAATCTTTTCCATGGACCCAAAAATGGCCCACAGAGACCCCAAAATACAGCTCAGGGTCCCCAGGATTGTCCCCCGGGCACCAAAACCCCAAAGGTACCTCTCCAGCACCATGGTAGCCCCCAAACAAGTCTCATGGACCCCCAAATTCCCTCCAGGGAGACCCCCAAAATGAGGCTCACGGACACAGAATGGCTCAAAAAACAGTTTGGGGACCTAAAATAGCACCCAGGGACCCCAAATGGCCCCTAAGGAGCCCCACAACCCTTCTGACTCCAAAATACAGCTTAAGAAACCCAAAAGTGGTCCTCAGGAACCCCTAAATTAACCCTTGGGGACTTCCCTGATCATTTTGATCCAGATCCTTTGAACCCCTGAGGAGCCCCAAGGTGCAGCTCAGGGACCCCAGAATATCCGAAGAACCCCCTCGATTCCCTTTGGGGACCTAAAATAGCCTCAGAGTCCCCCAAAATATAGCTAGAGGACCTCAAAACCTGAATCGCCCCCAGGGACTTTTTATGGGTCTCTCAAACAGGACACTGGTCTTCACAAATCTTACCTTGCCATTAATATGGCCCTAGGAACCTAAAAATGGGCTTCAGGGGGTCTAAAATGGCCTTTCAAGTCCTAAAAATACATCTCAGGTATGCAAAAAATTAGCATGAGGAACTCCAAAATGCACTGTGTAGACCCTAAGATACCCCAGGTACCCCCAAAATCCTTATGACCACAAATTACAGCTCAGGGACCCTTAAAATGGGACGCAGGGAGCCCACAATTTACCTTTAAGAACTCCCAAATCATTTTGAGCCCCAAATAACCCCCAGGAGCTCCTAAAATACAGCTCAGGGACACCAAAATCTCCTCCAACAAACAATTCTGTGCTACAGAAAATTTTGGGATCCAGCTTGTTGTGACAGAGCACCTAGTTTGTACTGGGAGGCATTAAAGGTACCCACTTCGTACTGGGAGGAGATAAGGCGATTAAATTTGTACTGGGATCAAGCCAAGTCTGTACTGTGTGGTCTTAAATGGATCTAGTTGGTATTGGAATAGGCCTCACTCTGTACTGGAAGGGCTCAGGTGATCCAGTTTGTATTGAGAATGTGTCTGTTCTGTACTGGGAGAGTACCTGGGGAACCAGCTTGTGGTGGAAGGCTACAAAGGGCTCCAGTTTGTACTGGGAATGTGCCCATACTGTAGTGGGTGAGCTTAATGGATTCCATATGTAGTGGGCCAATTCCCAGTCTATAATGCAAAGGGGTTTCAGGGGCCCAGTTTGTACTGGGAGGAGGTCAGGGGATCTACTTTGTACTGGGAAGTGTGCCAGTCTAAAACTGGAAGGAGATCAGGAGCTTGGAACTGGATGAGCTTTAAGTTCCCTTCCACCCCAAACCATTCCATGATTCTATATTCCCTATTGCTATCACAAGGTAAATGTTTAACTTACCAGAAGCAGTGTAAGATACTGGTGATTGTATTATTGTTTGTGACAGAAGTTTTATTGACACTTAGAGTAAGTGTTTCTTGTTAACAGCAAAATGCAATCACACTCTGAACTGGGTGATTCAACAGGATGGTACTGACAGACACAAAAGCAGTCAATTTATCAGTTCATATACATCAGAAAGTCAGTTAAATCACTTCTGTTTCAGTACAGGACAGGAGCTATGCCAAATAGGATTAGAGAGATGCATTTTAGACGTTTGTTTTGCATAGGAATAAGGCATGATCTTTGCAGACTTTATTTCTCTGTTATTCAAGTGATGGCCATCTTGTTTAGATGCTGAGGTTGGAAAGGACAGAAAGAGGTGATCTTCATTCTCAGTGTTACCAACTTGCCATGTGGGAAATACCAGACTCAAATACTGGTGCTAAGATCAAACCAGCGTGTTTGGAATGCCACTGCTGGGCATTATGATTTATGACCTCATCCTTGTCACCAGTGCAGGTTCACGCTGCAGTACAGTACTCATCTCAAGCTGCTATCTCATCTTGACTCAGAGACAAAGCTTCACAGAGGGGTCATGGCAGATGAAATCCCTGCTTGATGCCCAGAGGAGATGGGGGCCATCTATTTTTGCAGTACGTTGTTTTTCAGCCACAGCTCCTCCAGATGTCATTTTAATGAAGTTTCCCATGAAGAAGCCCATTTTCTGTCAAAATCTGCTTCAACAGTCCTGTTTAATAACCTGTGGAGACAGTGTTCTCACAGGAGAATGGATATTTGGTACATGAACTCTGAATAATCCCAAAAGATACAGCAAGGCCATGAGAGGCCTGAGGAAGCTTAAGCAAGCAAGATAAGAAGAAGCTGGAATTCACTGAGCTATGAGAACTGTGGGCTGTTGGCAAACTTTCAAGGTGAAGTTCTCACACCTGTGCTTAACCAATTACGTGTTAGTCGCTAAGGGTCTTCAAGACATATATCCAATCATAATATGCCAAATCACTGTAAGTGCATGTAAGAAATATATATGTATATTTATATATATATATAAAAATATATAAGGAGTTAAGGCTTTGCAATAAATGGCTTTGGTCTGATCATATTGATCTCTGAGTCCGTATTTTTTCTGCGGCAATAACCTTCTTCACTGTCCCTGAGGATGACTGCTCTGATGATTGCCCCAGAGAAAAGGAATGTGTACAGAGAGGCTCCTCCTCCCTCCATTGCTTGACTTGAAAAACATTTTAACTACTAATAAAGTTTCAGTCCTGTCACTACACTCAATTAGTCACAGCAATGGACAGACACAATGTCAGAGACACTGACAGATTGTGAGTCGTTTATACAGAACCAGGAAACATCTGGAACCTAAGGCTAGTACTGCTGTACTGCTATATGCTGTACTGCTACATGCTGACTCTTCCCTCAACAAAACTACTAAAGTTACAGATCAGTGGAAGAGATTTGATATGAACAAGTAGGACAAATAATTTAATGCATTGAAAATTTTCAGCCACATTCAACCTTTCCTGGTTCCTGTGGTCACTATGCATTCTTCCTCCACGGCATGTGAAGACCCTTACTGCTTACTGGTGAGTGGGGGTGAGGGACTCTGAGAGCACAGGTGTACCTGTTTGTACACACTGATTCCTCCTGTCACACTCTTTGCACTCCCATGTACACTGGTAATGCTTTCTGGGCCACCCCAATTCTGCCCTGTGCCAACAGTGCCTGGTGGACGGGTGAGGATACTGGTCCTGCTCCCGCAGGGAGGAGTGGCACGGACGAGGAGAAGGAAGTGACAGAGGAGGAGCAGGGCGGGCTGTGAAGGTGCAGTGCCCTGTGGTGTGTTGGAGCATCTCTAATTTGGCGTTTGGTGCCATGGTCTGGTTCTGCCCAAGGGGCAAGTGGGTGTAGGCAGAGCTCTGGTCTGCTGTGAGCTGGTTTGTGGCATCTCATGTTCTCTACTGAGCTGAATTCTGTAAGCAGGCTAATAAACCCAAGCTCCTCTCTCTTGCCTCAGAGAACCTCTGTCTGAGATACAAATGTAACACTGGAACATGAGCACAGATTTTACCAATGAACAATCAGAGTTACAAAGCAAACAATTACCATTTCTAAGTTACCTGGTGACTGCCAATGGAAATCTGCACTTAATCACTGCTAATTCACACAGGAAAAGCATTTCTTTTAATAGTAATAACCAAGGTCTACTACTACTAAGAAGAGCAATCTGTCCTCCAAATCCCTATCTCAGACATACTGAAACTCAAGACTGTAGGATCAGTTGTTACCATATTGTCCTGATAGTGGTCACAAGAAAGAAGCCAAATGTTACTGTCATGGTACTGTAATTTATTTTGATATTTAGTTTTTGTTAAACCCTTTTCATTTGAGAAATTTTTGGGG